CCCCCCACACCCTCTGCTCAACAACAGAATGAACTAATAAAAACGAATTTAAAAAAAAAAACAAACAAACAAAAAAAAAAAACCAAAAAACACACACACACAAAAAAAAACCCCAAAAAAACCAAAAATAAACAAAAAAAAAACCCCAAAAAACTGAAAAAAAAAAAAACAACCAACCAAAAAAACCCCCAAAAACCACCCCAAACCAAAACCCAAAAAAACCCCCAAAAAACATTTACTGGGAATAAATAATGAGGTTTAATTCCCAAATCTTAGTGGGTTTTTTTTTTTTGGTTTTTTTTTTTGCTGTTTCTCTGCAGACAGGTCAGCAGCTTCCTGGGATTCAATGTACACAACATATTGGGGGCAGCATTTGGGAAGTGGTGCAAGGGGGATTTGGGAGCTCCCACTCCCATTAACATCAATGAGAATTGAAATGCTTTTAAAAAAAAAAAAAAAATAAATATATCCCATTAATGCCAATAAATTATAAAACCGAGCCATTGAGTTGAGAAAGCTGAGGAAATTGCAATTTTTTACGCTGCCTGGATTTTCCATGGGCTGTCCCCCACAAAAGCTCACGGTGGGGGTATCATGAATAACCATTGCTGGGCAGGGCAAGCACGGTGAAAATCTGATTTTCCTCCTGGAAAACAACTCAGGATCAAGGGCTGTGTCCAAATAGAAGAACAATCTGTAATACAGGCAGCTTTGGAACATTTGAATCACTTTGTTCTGCTCAAATATTAAGAGATGAGTTAATGAATTAATGGGCCTTGAAGCATCAAAGAGCACGCTGAGATTTTGATCCAAATTAAGTGGGAAGACTTTGATTGTTTTTATTTATTGTGCCAGGGATAACTGCAATTCCATGGAATGATAAAGAATAAAGAATCCCTGAGCCAAAATGTTGGGAAGGAAGAATTTGATCTCATTTTGCTTGATTTTTTGTTTTGTCAGAGCTGCAAGGGAAATAATTCACATTAAAAAAAAAAGTGAGGGTAAAACTCACCTGAGGCATTAAAGTACCACAGAAACCACAAGCAGAGTTTTTATATAATTATTTACCAGATAACTTTGCAAAATAACTCATGGAAGAGTTCAGCACCATTCAGCAGTTAAAAAAAAAAAAAGAAAAAAAGAAAAAAATGACAACTCAAGTGAATTTGGGGGAATAAAAAACTGCAGAACATTTTACTGCTGCCCTGTAAAGAGAGAGAAAATCAGAAAATTTCTTTAGGACACAGTGGGGCTCCAGGGACAGCTTAACTCACAGGAAATCCTCTGCTTTTCTTAAAAAAAATCAAACCAAAATGGAAAATATCAGTGCTGCTCTGCCAGGCACAGGTAAAGAACCTGATCTAGTTCATAATTTAATTAATATTTCATTAGTTTGTATCTTCCTCGTGGTCTGTTTTTACAGCAGAACCAATTTTCACGTTCAGACATGAAGAAAAAAAACAAAAAAAAATTCTGTTCACTGTGTGAGTTTGTCCCTTTAAGTTTCTATTATTTAAAAGCCAAAAAAAAAAAAAAACCAGGTTGAAAAATGAAAAAAAAAAAAAAATAAACAGTACAAAAAACAAAAAAAACCCCAATATTAGTGCTTAGATAATACAGAAAGGCAATTCCATTATTATTTTAGGCAACTGTAAATTTCTGGATCTAACATCTTTTTTTTCCAAACTTACTAAATGGCATTTAGAAAATCATCATGATCCTGCAATAAACGTGAATCATGTAAAAAATGTCATTCCAGGGAGCCAATGAAATGATTCACTGCTAAATAAAACCATCCCCTGCTTTGCTTAAAACAAGCTTGTCAGGTAAAAAAAAAAAAAAAAAATTTAAATAGATGCCTTTTGCCTCATTTGCTTTAAAATTTTGATTTAATTTTAATTGAATTTGCCAGGAGTTCCCTCATTTTGAACATTTTGTGGTGCTCAGCAGGTGCCAGGCTGAGGCTGCTCCACCTCAGCACACAGGCCCAAGGAAGCAGCAGGATTTTTTGTTTTATTTTTTAATTTTTTATTTTTAAATTTTTTTTAAATGGATAACATGGTCAGGAAATGGCACAATTCCTTCTCAGCTTCTCTGTGCTCTGTATTTAATATATGAATTTAATAGAA